TTCTCGGTTACAAGCGTGTCGGCTCCCGGAGGTCAGTGAGATCTCTACCCCTGTACTGGGCAGCGGGTTAAGCACTGCTGCCCTCTCGGCAGAGAAATTCCTGTATGCGGTAAGTCAGCCAGGAACACACTGCTTTTATGAGTGCTCAGCGTCATATGCAGTAAGATAATTCAAACCTATATATTTTTATAGGAGGTCCATTACATTCCCAAGCAAAGTGGTGCTACTACTTCAGTGCAAAATGGCACCTACTAGGAAGCATACAGGAACACACATGCTTTTCAGCAAGTATACCTCCAGACATGCAGGTAAACTAGATGCATTAATGACTGGTAAAAAAACACATAAATGCATTTCTATAAATAAATCTTGAGCCATCAATAACCCCAATTATTCAGTCATGACACTTAGTTTGAGATAATGAATTCCACACAAAATTACTCTGCATCAGTCCTGTAATTTTTCTGTAAATTGTTACATATTTGAGAAGGATGCTTTAGCATTTACTAATTGTGCTGAAATTAGGCTTGGTGAAGAATTATAGCTGCTGCAGAATCGCTTTGTTGGACTGAGCATGAGATCCAAGTCTTCTGGAAGGTGTTTGAATATGCCAAGACCAATACTAGAAGGGTAAAGCTGAGAACAAAGAGGCCACAGAGGACAAATTCTGCTAGGTAAATTAGTCTGGTAATGGCACGCTAACACTGTTGTAGCTGGTATTGTCAATCTCAAGGGTAGAAGTAACAACCAAAGCAAGCCAGGACATGGCAGCCAGAGAGAGGGACAGGAGTCCAAGCGTTGGCAGTGACATCTGAAGAGGCAGCAGGGAGACATACATGCTACATTTGCTTTAGGGACATGGACTCTACTTTCCAGCCTGATAATCAAGTGAAGCAGAAGAGCAACAACTAGATGGCTCTCTACCTTGAAATCTGGCAAGGAAACAATTTTAAAGTAATTCAATAAAACCTTGTCTCTGCAGTAGACGTCAAAGGCAAGATACCTTTCTTTACAATGTTTTTGAGAGAGACTCCAAATTACAGTGGTACCATATTGTGAGCAATAACAAAGTATTCCTGATCAATAAATGGCAACTGTTCATTGAAAGTAACTGGCCATGAGCTACAGACAGATTAATATTATACCTCTCAGTTCAACAAACATAACTAGATGTAGCTAGGATTTTTTCCTTTCAAATTAGGAAGCGATAATTCTCTGGAATTCTTAGGATAGAACCAACTTTGTTAAAAGTTAGTTGAGAGGCTGGAACATCAGTCAAAGTAAGTTTTTTAGGGCATTGACAAGCACATAGCACCAACTCAACACCTCAACAACCAGTTAAAATCCCTGCTTTGCTGTTCTGCTCCCTCTGTGAAAACCCGTAACAGTGGGCTGCACAGGGACTAGAACATGCTCCAAGTTCTAGGCATGTGCCCTTTTCCTCCTAAAGTTTCACAGTTGTTTCATCAGAAAGGAAAGGAGGTAATTTAATGAAGAAACTATTTCCCACATAACTGATTTCCACATTTTGTTGTGGGATATTTGAAACTGGAACCTGAATAACTAGAGGGATGTTTATGTAAAAGGTTTATTGTAAGAAAAAGAGGAAACTTTTCCATTTAAGATTTATCAAAGATGCTATTTACTATTAAAGTCACAGCAGTGTAAGACAGCCAAGCAGTAACAGCATGCATTCCCTAACATTTTGAAAGGAAAACTTGTCAAAACAGTTTCTTAAAATGTGCACGTAAAGAGACACAAAGACAAATTATAGAAAAAAGGTACCCATTTATTCAAGGTATGACAAGGATATTTACAGTATTCATTTGCTCAGAATAAGATCCATCCTTACGATTTTTAAAGCAGCAATTATAATTTACATTTAAAAGGGGAAATGTTCCAAGCATGTTTCTGTTAAAGATATTTTTACAATGACAGAAACACTTTAAGGCTAAGTCATTTTGACCTTTGCTGCCACCCACACTTATCTTGGCAAAACTGTCTCAAAGAGACCATTACCTTGAGAGATAAAGACTATGCTAAATTCAACATACAATTTTGTTCCCTCAGACGCTTTTCACAACAGTTCACATCTGACAAAAGCTGACTTTTGATTTAAAACAATGAATTAAATAAGAGAGATGAACTGCCTACATCCTGGCATTTCAGAGGGCTAAAAGATCCTATACAACACCACATTCATCACCCCTGAAAGATATCATCAGATGTCTTGTTGATGAAGGTACTTCAGCTTACCAAGCAATTTGCTTTCAGCCAGAGCTCCATAGTCACATAGTATAATCCACCTTTCCTGTCACATTACTTTTCAAAAGACAAGAACAAAAATCTTCAGGTAGCTGACAATGTAAATGATGAACACTGTCTGCTTTACTGTCACAATACTTGATTCCCACAGTGCAGACTAGCGCTCTACCAAAGCAAACTAGATGAGTTTGCTAAACTGCTGTAGTGCTATTCTCTAGTCATTTTAACACAAAACAGATCTACAGGAGCAGTTAAAATTGGTTCATCTCTTGAGGTAGAAGCCACAAATCATATTTAGTCCTGTCTGTAAACGACAACACACACGCCCATCAGGCAAATATAGCCTTTGTTTGTAATTTATGAAATAAAACCACTGATTTTTCAGATGCTATTCATTGTAAGTGTAATGGCACTTTTCATTGAATCGTTTTGTGCCTATTTGAGAAGGAAGCAAATCAAACATTCGGAATAGTAAATTGTGGCCATTTATACAGTTGTAATGAAAACAAAACATGTCTTACACAAAAAAGCTTTGTAGCAACCTCCAAGAGGGTAGGTATATGAGGATTCTTCTTAACTTCAAAGTTATTTTGGAAAAATACCAATTTTAACTGCATAATTAAGAAAAAAAACCCAAACAACACTAAACAGTCATTAGACCGTTAAGACTACATAGCTACTTGAAATACTACCACTGTATTTTGGTAATTATTTTAGGATTACTTTTAAGGGAAAAGAAAGTTAAAAAACTCAGAAACCCCCAAAGCCTCCACAAATACAATTTACTTAATGATCACATTTTGTTAGGTGAGGATACCACATAACTAAAATCTATTGAAAGTGCACAATGTTTAACATTCCAATAGAAGCAGAAATGTGACCCTTGCATTAGCAGGGGACATTTATTCCAGGTTAGCTAAGAATCTCTGTAACAGCAAAGTTGTTGCTGTGACTGACAGAGGTTTTAAGTTATCTGTAACCCAAACAACAAGTTACAAAACATATGGAGACTGGCACTTGATCTTTAGTTAGCCCCGTTAGCTCAATTTTCTCCCCAGAGACTCACGTACACCAGAATTTTCAGTTTTCATTTTATTACTGTAAAAAATAAAAGTAAATTTGTAGTTCCAGAGTAAGCAAAGAAATCTTAGCTTGAAGCTATTTAAAAACAAAGGTTCAAATTTTGATAAGGTACATTTCACAGGGTTCATGTCAGCACCTTAACCAAATGCATTTTTCTGCAAACTGAGCATATTCCACAAAGTTTTAATGTTAGTGACAAGGAAGGGGCTACATTCTCATCCGGATGCACATGTGACATGACTCAAGGAGAACAAACTGGAAGGAGTGTAAGTCAGTTTCCAGAGTTCCCTGTTGAGCTCTACATGTTCAGAACCGACATTTAAGACTGAAGTTATTGAAGATTGACCTTTTGCATACTCCGAAACAGAAGGCAAATACAATCAACTTACATTTGGCTTTGAAACATTAAGATAACAATGTTTTATTTCAGCCACATATTTACAAAAATGCTTACAACAGAACCATGTAGGGTTTCCTTTTTTTTTTTTCCATAATACACTTAAAGATGAACAGTCATCTTAACCTTTATGCAAAGACGCATCTCTTGTTACACAAGAAGTTTTCTGTTTGTTTGTTGGTTTTTTGTTGGTTTGGTTTTGGTTCTTTTTCCGCTCTGAGGATAGCAAGCAGAGGGTTGGATAAGTTTGGGTCACCCTTAAAAACATAGGCCTGTTTGCTCTAGTGCACCTTCAAAATAAGGAGGTAAAGTACAGGCTCTCTTAATTCCACAAGGGTTCATTGTCTTTAGCACGTTTTCCAAAAACAACAAAAATAGTCTTGGAACAATTGTAATAAGGGTTATTCCATGACTTTTACCTCTTCAGTTTACTTCCTGAACTCTGGAGTTACTTTCCTAGAAGCATACTTGCTGAGCTTCTTTTCTAGTGTATATTGTTGACTATACATTTTAAGTTAAACTGTTATGTAAAGAATGTAACAAGCTTTTCCATTGTACACAACTTAATCTTGTGCTGAGTATTCTTCAAAAGGATTTTATAAATAATACAGTAAGTTTAGAATCAGTCTTCTGCCCTCTTGTCATTATACCATGTTGTTGCTTTCTCCAACTTTATCTACAAGCTGTAGAAAAGATAAAAAGGTTTTAAGCTGCATGACATTTATGTACAGTGAACTTACTCTCAAATACTTGTTACTTGCACAGTTAGTATGCGACTGAAAATGGGAGTCAAATAATACTCACCAAGGTCTTATGATTTAAGTTTGTGAAAATTAAAAATCTTACATTACAATTGTGTTTCTGCATGACATGTTTTTCTCATATAGACATTAACAGTGCAACATGAAGATGCAACAGAATGAAAAAGGAAATAGAATAATGCAGATAACACTGCTAGCTTAATGATTAAAACAAAACAATACAGTATCAGCCACACATGCATTAGTAGACCAAGTAAGATATTTCAACTGACCATTACTGTGGATTCTCTTCTGAGCCTACGTAGGCTTTGAATAAAACATTAACAATTATCTTTTTAAAAGAAGATTTAACCCCATTATGATCAAATTAAATATGACTAAGTACGATCAATTGACAAATGAAACATTCAATTGATCATGAATTATGAGCCAGAACTTGGCCTAACTGTAAGATTGGAACAGATCATCTTCAACACCCGTTTTTAAAAAACAGACTGTACACATCTAAGTTATAGCCCCTATTAATTTTTTTAGTAGTAGCTATTAAAACTGTTGCTTTCAAAACTAGGGTTAGAAACATTTGTGTTAAAATACATACAAAAATTAGCACAGTAAAAGTAGTTGACTGGAACACCCTAGATTACCATCTTTCTGGCACCTGTTAATTGTCTTCAAGTCCCTGGCTATTTGGTTAAGAAAATAGAAAACTGCATTTGAAAAAATACAAATCTTAGTAAATAGCAAGATGTAGTCAGTGGACCTTAATAGATAGATTTCATGAACGATTATGCTTCATGAGAGTTTCTGGATTCACCGTGCAAGCTGCAACTTAACACTGAACTAAACTGTTTGCTTTTACAGGCCACTTTTCATAAATATATCCAAATACTATGCAAGGAACAGCATCCTCCTCATTGTACAGACAGTAGAAGAGGCACAGAACAGTGGCATGATTCACCTATCTAGTCACCTAGAGCCAACAGCGAAGTAAGAAGCAGAACCCCAGCGTTCTGAGTCACAATCCAGGGCTCCCTCCACAACATATAAGCAGGGCCAGCTTCGGCAAAGGTGTCCTTTTGTTCCTTTTACATCTAGAAGTCTCTCACTGAGAATGAAGGTGATCTGTATGGTGCAAGAACTACACACGAATACACTCAAAATCACTGCTCCAAAGTTGTATTTGCTTTACTTCTGATGCATTTCTACCTTTGCTGTAACAATGGAATTAAAAAAAAAAAAAAACAAAACAGTACAAGCTTCAAATTTTGAATGAAGTACCAAATACTTACCGAGCTTATACCGGGTAAATTCAAGAGAGAGCCAAGAACTGGAACTCTTCTAATAAAGCCAACCACCACAGGAAAGAACCCCCTTTAGGTAAGACACCAGAAGATTGTATTAGTTTTTATAATTAAACTATTTTTATATTGCTATAAAATAAAGAAACAGGAGGTATTTTTTAAACCAAGATTACATAAAATCTTGTAGCTTGTTAGCAGCACATGAATTTTACCAATATATCAACATACATTCAGCAGAAAAAGGAGCAAACCAGGAAAGAAACACCTTATTTTCAAATGGACTTAATTTTCTTCATAGCTGGCAACCCTCAGTCAGCTCTTCAAAAAAATAACTAAAGAAAGAACACCCAACTCAGCCGACAGAACTGATACTCCCAACTAATTTCTCAGAACTACCATACATATTTTGAGGTAATTTCTTTTTACATTGTAGGAAATACATTCTTGCAATACCTGACGTAAAAATAACTGCAGTTAATTCTGAGTAAACCCCTTTGAAACCATATATGGTAGTCTTTACATTAACTAAAGGAAGTTAAGCATGACAGAGCCATGTATTCACTTGCTTGACAAATTCACATAACATCAGCGATTTGATTCATGAGCCAGAAGATGTTGCCTAGCATAGCTGCTATGGTGTAGCCCCCTGCACCATCCACTTTGTCTCTGCAGCAGGAAAACAAATTTTCTATGGCAGTATCTCGTCTGTCTGCAGTCAACCACAGCAATTCAGCTGGTGGCATTCTGAGTTACCACTTGTTGAGCTATATATTCCCTGTGTAGAATAAGGATTAACAGGTAATGAAACCTCAACCACAGTGAAACAGTGAAGTTTCACAAGTCATTATCCTCTTTACTACACTGGTAAGAACTTTTTGCTGGAGAATATCAATACCAGCAAGTTTTTCCTGGAGATTTTCTTTTTTTAAAGACCGGATCATTTCAGTGATCCAGTAAATGGCGATGCAGGGCACACAAGCCACTTGTAACAGATTAAAACAATCAGTGTGGCCAAGATTAAAGAATAGTCAGTATAGGCAGGATAATATTGTTAGCCATAGCTTTGGATGCCTGTAATCTTGACAAGGCTCCAAAAGCAGCTTAGAGTTCAAGAGATACTGTCCCATTACAGCCTTTTCCAGTGAACGCGATCTGAGCATGTGAAAGTATGGCAAAAGACTAAACCTCTGATGGGAAACCTGTGGCAGCATTTTAAAGGGAAAGACATTCTAGATTTAAAACAGAGTAAAACAATTGTGTCTTTCCCTCACTTCAGTCAGATGCATCTTTAAAAAAAAAAATCTTTGCAATCCTGTCTTTTGTTTAAGTGTTCTTGGTCACCAGTACCTAACCATTCCTTTGTCAACAACAGGGGCTCTGCAACTACTGCTACTGGGTGTATGAAAGGTGACTGTGTACAAGTAGGGTAGATATGCAAGACAACAACTTATGAGTAAAGTTTCTAGAGATATCTGAACACCTAGTGGAACTGCTTTAGTGGTCTCAAAATCAAGAGACTGAAAAAAATACAATACAGTGGTTTACATCTGTACTATCGTAGTCTCAGTTGAAGTTACTAGAACTGCAAATACAAAGGTTTTCCATATAAAAGTCCTAGTAATCCACATGACTAGAACCATTAGGATACACAGAAATGCCCATCCTCACCACATACTGCCCTAACAAGTCCAAAGGTGCATAAGTTGACCTGGCTTTCCTTGAGCCTAAGAAAGTTATGTACTTCAGAGACCAGTGATAACCAGGGGAGTTTTCTGTTATGCAACCAGACAGCGGGGTTCTGAGGAATCATATAAAATTATGCTTGAGGAAAGGGTCCATTTCTGACTTCTTCAGAAAGGAGCAAGTTGCCGAAAACACAGTAACGGTTGAAATGAACAGGGCTGAAGCAAAACAAAAAGCTTTGTTTGAAGTAGTAACTAGCTAACCTTCTATGATCCCTTCAACATTATTTTACCCTGCTAGCCCCTGGCTAGCACCAATAGATAATCCATAACCATACCTGCTTAAACATAATAATTTATAATTCTTTCGAGATCTTTTAAAAGGAGGGGTGTTTGGTTGGAAACACACTTTACTTGCTTTGTACTGGTTGATTAAACCCAAGTCCTACGTGCCAGAAGTGACAACGCATTCAGTAAAATGCTGTGATTTTCAAAACACTTGCAGTGATAGCATACAGAGTAGAAAAATAAGAAGCATATATTAAAAGCCAAGCTTTTTTTTTTTTCCCTAAAATATTTAAACATTTTATCTAAAATACAAGATTAACATACAATTTTACTGAGTGGAAAAGAGAGCACCATAACAACAGTGGTTTGATTTTGATTAACAGGAACTATGTTATTTAGCAGCAGTTGAACACTTCCAAAATATGTTAGGGGTCTGTAATTAGATCAGTAAGTATTAATGGAACAGTCTTATTCTGAACAGAAGTCCAAGAACAACTAAAAGCCTCCCTTCTTACTTATTAGCATATTTTGTACACTTTGTTCTATACTGAGGTATGTAACTTCAACCATGGAAATAAAGACAAAACATAGATATACAGGTTGTAACAAGTCAAATTCTTTCACTATTACAATGGCATTTATGAAGAAGTTTAATGACACATTGTGAAAGCTATAACATGTATCAAGATTGCTGTTAAAAAAAAAAGTCATCTTTCCGTAACTCAGCCCAGACAACGCTAGCCAAAACCAGCAGTTTTGACTTTACTAGGGCACAAGTGTAATGAAACGTGTCCAAAAACATCTTTTCACTAGGCTACCATAGTAATGAAATGGCAAGATTACAAACCTAGGATGTTTGTAACCAAGCATTTTGCCCATCTGTTAAAGAAAAGAACAAACCCCCCACCAAAAAAAAAAAAAAAAGTATCTAAGTTGCCTTTTTTTATGAGGAAGTATTTAAACTTTGCACTGCTAATAATTTGGGCTTCCACATATTTTGAAGCTTTACAATTCTTTGGTTAGACGTAAACAACATTACCAAATCAGTTTGGTATATGCCTCAAACACTAGCAAATTTGAGTCTTGAAAAAATACTTGCCAACTTTCCACCTCTTGCAAATGTAAATCAACAACTTTATATGAAGTCTATCAAAACCAAACATTTAAAGGATGCTGCTTTGTCAGCTGTAATGCGGCAACACTAAATGAATACATTTATTCCTAGATACACCGATACAGAAAGGTATTTTGAAACAAGTCTTACCTGAATAATAGGAAGAACCCATAAATTTCAAGGATCATTCCTATTAAAGGCCAACCAATGAGAACTATGAGCACACCACCCAGGAAAAAGCCCGTTGCTTTCATTTTGTGTTTTTGAAAGAAGAATCTAAATGTTCTTTCTAAACCGATAACAAAAGACAAGCCAGCCACAAATAACACCTAGAAAAGACAAAAAACAACAAAAGAAAGAATTATATTCCTAATTTAAGATGTAAACATGTACATATTGTACAAAAGTAGGTTGCATTTCTTGCACAACTTCTTTTAATACCAAAAGATAGATGGGGAGAAAGATTTTAATAGTGATTTTCTTTTGTGAAGTCCATCTTAAAGCATTTGTAGCTAGCATTCAAACTCTTCTCTCAGCTGCTTAAAGAGTAAAGAGTCTACCTTTGTGGTCTCTGACAAACACAATCATGTCAAAAGACCTGGTGACAACAGTTATATCTCCTGTAACACAAGTCCAATCATTATCCACAAGCAGTGCTGAAGCTTAGTACCATTGACAGCAAAGGTTCCTAAAAACTGAGAAGAGACAGATTACAAAAGCACCTTTGTTCTGTACCATGGACATTTTCAATAGCTTGTACTGATCTACTGAACTGTGCAAAGCCAAAAAAAGGACAATGGCTAAAGAGCAGTATCAGTGATTTTTTTTTTTTTTCTCCACTCTGTATAGTCTTTCTACCATTTACTAGTTCCAGTGTAGACTGAACACTATCACACAAGTCCCAACTAGGTAGAACTACTTTTAGTGTCCTTTACCAATAGGACATCTGGTGTACTGTGTCCAGTTCTGGGCTCCCCAGTTCAAGAGAGACAGGGAACTTCTGGAGAGAGTCCAACAGAGGGCTGCAAGGATGATTAAGGGACTGGAACATCTCTTGTATGAGGAAAGGCTGAGAGACCTGGGGCTGTTTAGTCTGGAGAAGAGAAGGCTGAGAGGGGACCTTATAAATGTCTACAAATATCTGAAGGGTGGCTGTCAGGAGGATGGAGCCAGTCTCTTTTCAGTAGTGCCCAGTGACAGGACGAGGGACAATGGGCACAAACTGCAGCACAGGAAGTTCCACCTCAACATGAGGAAAAACTTCTTTCCTGTGAGGATGACAGAGCACTGGAACAGGCTGCCCAGAGAGGTTGTGGAGTCTCCTTTTCTGGAGACCTTCAAAACCCAACTGGATGTGTTCCTGTGCAACCTGCCCTAGGTGATCCAGCCTTGGCAGGGGGGTTGGACCAGATGATCTTCAGAGGTCCCTTCCAACCCCTACCATTCTGTGATTTATAATTATTTCAGCTTGTAAGCATACCTCTGGGCAACATTTTTGCTGAAAAGGGGACTTTACTCAAGATCATAGATGAAATTTAAGTTTTTTATGTTATTTAATAAACCACTTTCTTACCATCTTTTCCCCTTTCTAATGCAATTTTTTCTTTTTAAACTTTCCATGAGGATACAGTAAGTTTTCTTGCATTATCTTTGGTTTCCACACAGCCTGTCATTGTCTCTTCCTACCTGTGTTTTCATAATTTTTCCTAAATAGGATCTCAAATTTCCACCTCGCATTAGAAAAATAAAAAATAAGCATTATTTTATTTTTTTTACTCTTCCACTATACACTTTATTGATCAGAACAGTGCTTCAAGTAATGCACCCAAATTCAAATATACATTTGAAAATTTTCCTTCTGTCAATCTCAGTATTTGACTCTGCTGCCACAGAATGAAACTGATGATGTTTTGACCACAGATTTTTAGACACCAGCAAAAGAGGATGCGAACATCTACCAGGCTGTGCTCTTGCCTGGCTGGCAAAGAACAGCAAAGGCACACAGATTATCCTATCCAGAAAACACCCTGTAATTTTCTATTTGCTTCGGATTGGGAATTTTGTGTACCAGAACTAGGATTTATTTTCTATCCTGCTTTAAGTGAAAATTCCAATTTGGTAAAAACTGAAGGTATTAAATCTCTCTACGATGAAGGGTGATTGGCTCTACTAAACCCAGACTACCAGCAATTCATACTTCTTTCTTTCCTCATGAAGCACAGCGAAGCTACATTTGCTAGCATGTACAGAATACACTTCACTACTCTTATCCAAATAGATACTTAAATTTTACAGTTATCTTACAAGATCACAAAAAAGCAAGCATTGGTAATGACAGCCAATCTAAAAATCTTAGCTGCAGCAGCATAACAACTGTTGAACAAACCACTTCTTGTCTGACCAACATACTGCAGGCCTGACCTGGAGGTACAATACCTAGATTGATGTGAGCTGCTCTAATTTTAGTCAGGAAAAATGATTCACTCATGTCACCGAGCATAACTCTTCCTTTATACCAGACTGCCACAGTATTTTTTGTAATCCATTTTCAAATTGATAACATACTGCTTTATTTTTAGTTTATTTTTATTATATCATATACTTTATTCTAAGCAGTGCAGAATCTAAGACTAAACAGTAGGCACTTACATTTCCAATAGCCAAAAGAGCTTTATCAAAGAAGAGTATCATTCCAAAGAAAAGGAAAAACACTCCAAAGCCTGTTAGTCCCATTCCAATCTCTGAAAAAGAAACAAATTTAGGCACATAACAAAACACGGTACCAGGAAAAACTTATGCACATAAATAGTGAAAAACTTACAACGTCCAATCTACAGACATTCTAAACTTATAAAAAAACTCAGCCTATTTTATGACCATCTAAAAAACTTTCCTGAGTGTACAAATATAGTAAGTCTTGCAGACACCAATTCAATAACAGGCAGAGAGATCTTTGGAAGCTGTTTATCAAAGATGTGCATATTTGGAACTATATACTGAAGTTGAATGCAACAAAAAAGCATGCATTCATATATACATACAACAAAGACATCCCTTTTGATTTACTGTTAGTATGGAGGAAAGGATTGTTTTGTGAACAGATAATGAAACTTCTGTTTTCCATTTGCAACTCTGATCCCGTTACGTTTACCACTGTAACGTAAGTACCCTGGTCCTTTCCGTCCTCCTGAGACCTCACATTCCACCTCCCATAATCTTGCACAGCAGTCACCCTTCCCCCAACTTCCGGATTAAGCACAACTCAGATTAATGCTGTAGGCTCTTCCCAAGTTACACATGCAGTGACAGCTATTAAACACTCACTTGGGTGTCCAGCCACTTGCCAGTTTTCACAACTAGCAGATACTAAATATCTTTGTGTTCTGCCTGCCTGTAAAGGTTGCTCAAGAAATACTGGGAAGGCAAGAGTAGGATGGAACGTTTGTCTGAGAAACTGGGCTAGAAATGTCAAGCTACAATTAAAGCTAGCACTTGACGATAGCCTCTAAGTTATCTTGAGGACCATACTTAGAAATACATCCTACTTTTAAAATTAAACCTCTGAGGCCTTGCTTTGACTCTTACACAGACTGAACAGGAGAGAAGTAACAGAAACAGCAGCAACACAGCTGCAAAAATCTTTGCATTTATCCATGCACTCACCCATGCCTTATTGCTATCCCTGTGACCACAGAATATAGAAATCTAAAGGGTACATAAACACAGCTAGCAAAACCAGCCATAATACTATAGGCAGCCTGGCAGCCCAGTTTGAGTCTCTGTGTGGGTGTATATATATTGCAGATCCCAACAGTTTTGTAAAGTCTAGCCTGAAACAAACAAACAAAACCCCCCACCCACACTATCATAGCCTTCACTGCTTCTGTTAGCCAGATCTACCTAAATCTATTTTAGTTGCACCTTCTGACTGCAATGTAGATCTAGCTGATCACTTACTGTTGCTTGAAGAACTCAGGAGTAAAAGAATATCCGTCTGCCTATTTCGGAACTTCCATGTAGTTATTGCAAAAAAATTTCAGAGCAGCTCAGAGTAAAGAGATGTGTTACAGCAACATTCAACGTCCCCAACTTCTGTAAGGGTTCATCTCTCAGCAAGGCTGCAGACCAGATGGTGTTAAATCTGTAGTTCTACAGTCTTGCCTGCCACTTTAAGCTTTTGCTATGAGCATTTTAACCACCCAGAATTAAAACTAAGTAACCTGCTACATCTGATTTACTTGCAGACATTCTCAATACTCGTTTACAATGAAAAATGGAATTGCAAATTGTATTTTCAACGAATCTGCTGACTGAAGGCAGTATAGCAACTGCCACCTGCCCTTTTCTCTAGTACTCTTTACTTTAGAAAAGCAGAAACAATCTGTATTCTGGAAGGAAAACACTTGTAGGCAGGACTCCAAAGGAATTACCAGCTGCCATTAAGATAAATATGCAGTCATGGGAAGCAAGTATTAATTCCTCCCACAGACACAGCACAAAGCAGAGGCCAACTCCCAACAGCTGTTGCAATTACTACTCTGACACTTCTGTATTCACTTGAAACATGTTTGTAATCACCTACTCCTACAACAGATTCAGATTCATTTTAGAAATCAACCATATTCACTAGTTAGTGGAGGGAAAAAGAAAAAAAGAAAAAGGAACACCATTCTAATCATCCCCCCAAAATTACTGCTGAAAGATGATGAGTAGCCCAGGACTATTACTGTCTGTTGCCAATATCTCAGTAGAAGGTATTACTGACTTGATTCATATCAGAATTTGGAAATATATTTGACTAGTGTTCTTAGGGAAGAAAAAAAAAAAAACACTGTCATTTTGTACATAATCTTTGCAACAATGAACTAGGATTTTTTATAGAGGGTGTGAACTATTTTTAAATGCTTTCTCCTGCACCAGAAGAATCTTCCCATATTACTCAAATACAACATTTCAAGGCGTAGAAATGCAGAAACACATACTAGCCATGTGACACCTACTTCAGATTTTTTTAAACTGATTATGACTTAAGAGAGGAGGGAGCAATGCTTTCTCAATGTTTCTGCAGAAATCCTGTAAGCTGTGTAAGACCACTGCAGCACTGTATCAAAACAGCTTAGTAAATATTAAAACTTAAAATTAAGATACATTGCTTGTGAAAGTTCAGGGAAAACAATGCACATCCTCTATCTTTTGCGTACAAAAGAGTAAAATTATGCATTATAGGCTCTCAGAATACAAAAAATAATGCAGTTTATAGATTATGAAAAGTTTCAATTTTAAATAATTATTATTTTGCTAGTAGTGTTTTTTAGTATTGAAAGATTAATTTGTTTGTGGAAAAAAACCTAAGTGCATTCTTTTGTAATTACTGGTGATCTGTAACACCATTCAATCAATCATTTCAAAAACGTTCCAGACTACAGCTGCAAATTTAAACTTCCAAACGTGAATTAATGCAGTGATCCTCTCCAGTTATTTATCATGCTACTCCACCAGTAACTCTATGGGTAACTCCATATTTTTCCAAACAGCAGTGAGTTTAAAAATATCTGATGAAATAGCTTCAGAATTTCAGAAGAACTGTGAGAAAAAAAATAAAACCCCCTGAACTCCACAGTAATTTACTTACTACTCTTGGCTCTGAAAGTTAAAACCAAGAGAGTCAGCACTGGAGTTAGCTGCAGCTCCCAAATGAGGAACTAAGAAAAGGAAAAACAGGGAACAGATTTCCTCTTTCTGAAGAGATTTTTCTTATTCCCCAATGAATACTCTGGAAAGGAGAATAGGGGAATGGGCAAAGTCAAAGCCCACAAGGGTTTAATCAATCAGAAGTCTAAAAGTTAACCCCAAGGGTTAGTACCCATGCCAGTAACTGAGCAGCTGAATTTCTCAAGAAATCATTGACCTTGAATGCCACTAGTCTGCTTTTCTGCCAGGCGTCATCCTTTGCCTTGACTGGCTCCCTGATACCCCAGTTTCTAGCATCCTGCTATCCAGTTAAACTTAGTTCTTTTAACTTTCTTTTCTACATCTTTCATGCTTACCTTCGTTCATAACTAATGTTACAGTGCTTATCAAGCAGACTCATTTCCTTTCATGGCAACCGTGCCAGAAACGTATCATACACAAGACGTTAATTTAAATCAAAGACCTGACATTCTCCTTCAACTTGCAGTTTAAACTCTGATGAACCCCTTTGCTTTGATTTCTTTCAACATCTCTATTTCAAATTATTTCTATTAGGTACAACCAAAACTATAGTCACATAAAAGTACTTTTTTAACTTCAGATTGAGTGCCTGGTTCCTCACCTTAAAGCCCCCTCAGAGGCACCTGCAAACGTTCAGTGCGATAACTGAACAGCAAGTTCAGAGAAACACAGTGAAGCCACTGACATACCACTACGTGATTCCAAACCACCGATGTCCACACGGAGGCATCCTTGAAGACTTTCGCGTACCGTTCAGCTTTCATTCATTCTCACCACCGTCACCTGAGAGCAGCACCCCGCCAACGCCGAAGAGCTCACAGCCCAAGGCAAAGGCCGGCGGCGGCAGCGCTTCTGACAGGGCCCTCGCAAGGGCAAGGGAA